TTCCCGGGGGGGGTGGTTCCCCTGCCACGGGTGATGTCACCAGCCGGCGCCAGGGCGGAGGGGGTGGGGCCACGGAAGGCCGGCCCTCAAAAGGGTGCCGGGGGAAGCAAGCAGGAGAGCTCCGGCTGGGGGGATAAGAGCCTGGCACGGGGGGATGGGGTGGGGGAGGAGGAGGAAGTGACCCAGGACGGGCGACGGTAGCGCCTTAGTCAGCGCCCGGAGGGTGGGTGAGTTGCGGGGGAGGAGTCCCCACCAACCAGGCAGCGAGCCAGCACGGCTGCCTTCAGGGACCTGGGTCGGGACTTGGAGCGTGGGTGGGCCCAAGTCCCCCTCCTCACTCGCAGGCTCCATCTAACACTTTGGGGGAGGAGGAGGAAGTGACCCAGGACGGGCGACGGTAGCGCCTTAGTCAGCGCCCGGAGGGTGGGTGAGTTGCGGGGGAGGAGTCCCCACCAACCAGGCAGCGAGCCAGCACGGCTGCCTTCAGGGACCTGGGTCGGGACTTGGAGCGTGGGTGGGCCCAAGTCCCCCTCCTCACTCGCAGGCTCCATCTAACACTTAGGACTGCTAAGACTCGGGGCAGGGGCCCCGGGTCTGGTCCCGAAATTTTCTTCCGCAGCAAGCACGGTGGTGGGATAAAGGTTGGGGGTACCAAAATAAGGAACATCAGCAGGTGGCCCCGATGATGATGAGTCTGTAAGCCTGAGGGGCAACCTGACCCGTGACAGGGACAAAGTCGCTAACATCCTGGACCAGCTCCTCAGCTGCTGTCAGTTGTCCTAGTTCTGTGCACTTCGGCAGAGATGTGGCAAATTACACCAGCTAAGAATCTGCCCCCATCCATTTGAACACTTCTGGAGCCACTGTTCTTCTTTCCAGAGAGCAAGAATAAATCCTAGGAGCTTATAAATAATTTTCAGGTGCCCTACTATTTTTCCGTGAAGATTTCTCTATATATGTGCACACTGTCTTCTGGGTTGTACAATACATATAGGTAAAAACGCTACTGACACCTTATAGAATGGCTCAAAAATTTTGTGACAATGGTTTTCCATTGAAAAAAGCTAATGCAATGAAATCAATTTTTGTGTGTGGAAATATATCAGTATGATCAACATTTCCAACAGGAAATTATCAAAGCATTTCATTTTGACTTTATCATTTTCTTCTTCAATTAAAATATATTCATAGTTGAAACTTTTTTATTATAATAGAATATAAAAGTCAAAATTATAAAACCAGACACTCTAGTTACTTTCTGGAGACCTGAGTGCACCATGGAGCTAAAAAGCTTGTTCCCTTTTACCACTGAAGTTGGTCCAATAAAAGATTTTTTCTCACCCACCTCGTTAAAGTAGAAATGAAACATTTACATTTTATCAAGATGAAATGTTTCAACAAGGTTGGAACAAAATATTTTATAATATTTCATTTTGAGAATAATTCCAAATTATTTGTCCTAATTTGGGACAAAACCACATTTTTAAATCTCGGGTTTCCTGGGGGACTGAAATTCTGTTTTGCAGACCATTCTAACGTTTTACAGCCTGACGTGTAGGATGACATAGGCTGTTCATATTTTTTGTGGACAGTTGTAAGATGTATAATCACAGTGTGCCACTTGTGGTATGTCTAGACTATGTGCTTCTGCCGACAGAGGCATGTAAAATAGGCTACCTGACATAGACAATGAAGCGGGGCTTTAAATATCCCCGGCTTCATTAAAATAAAAATGGTCACCGTGCTGTGCCGGCTCAGCTGATCGTCGGCACAGCGTGCGAGTGAAAACGTGGATTGGTCGATAAGGGAAGCCTTTGTCGACCGCTCCCGTAAACCTCATTTGATGAGGCATAAGGGATCGGTTGGCAAAGGCTTCCCTTGTTGACTGATCCGCGTCTTGACTCACGCGCTGTGCCGACAATCAGCTGAGCCGGCACAGCGCGGTGGCCATTTTTATTTGAATGAAGCCGGGGATATTTAAATCCCTGCTTCATTGACTATGTTGGGTAGCCTATTTTACATGCCTCTGTCGGCAGAGGCATGTAGTCTAGACATACCCTTGGAGAAAAGCGATTATGATCCCCATTGATAATTATGAATGGAAACACAGCGAGAAACATTGCCATTAACATTTGAAATATTTCATATTTTACCTTAAAAACAAACCCACAGAGTTACATTTTGCCCCATACTTATCTTTAAAAAGGAAAATAAAAACAAGAGAAATGTTGCTTACAAAGGAGAAATCTTCAGCATTCTGGCAGAGGAGCTTAGGGAAAATTGCCTGTCTCTGAAATCTTTCTTCCTCTTCAAAGATATTCCCATACATGAAGCCATTCATCATGGTGGAGTGGGCATGGATGTCAATATAGAACTCCAGGCTAATTTTCTATTGAGACAAACAAACAAACAAACATGAGATAGATCGCAAACACATGTGGAAGGAGAACGCTGTGTTAAACGCAAGGCTGCTGTCCTTAGGACCACATAGTAGCGGTAGCATCTGCATAACCAGGCAACAATGGTGGTGATACTGCGGTGCTTTATGCAAACTAACTTTGCCTCCTCAGAACTGGGGTTGAAATCTTGCAATCGCATGTGCACCTGTGGGGTGTCAGTATATCCCGATCCTTATTGGAATGGAAGTACCCCAGCTTACTTACGCTCTGTGAACACTAAAGAGGATACAATGCAGAGAAAAGGCAAAGGGAGCCCTCAGGCCTGAGATTCCTTTCTCGGCTGTTTGTAGCTTCTGTGGTTTTCTTCCCCATTGTCCTCCCTAAATGGCTAACAAGCTTCATTTCCCTTCCCCAGCTTGACTCCCCTGTGTTCTGGGTTCTAATCGCAGTACAGAACCCTGCCATGCAAGGACCTTCATTGGGGGCCAACGTCTCCAGGGTCCACTGGGAGTCTTCAGAAACATAAGAATGGCCGTACTGGGTCAGACCAAAGGTACATCCAGCCCAGTACCCTGTCTGCCTACAGTGGCCAATGCCAGATGCCCCAGAGGGAGTGAACAGAGCAGGTAATCATCACGTGATCCCTCTCCTGTCACCCATTTCCAGCTTCCGACAAACGGAGGCAGGGGACACCATTCCTACCCATCCTGGTTAAGAGCCATTGATGGACCTAACCTCCATGAATTTATCTAACTCTTCTTTAAACCCTGTTAAAGACCTGGCCTTCACAACACCCTCTGGCAAGGAGTTCCACAGGTTCACTTTGCATTATGTGAAGAAATACTTTCTTTTTTTTGTTTTAAAACCTGCTACCTATTAATTTCATGTGGTGACCCCTCCTCATGCCTAGACCCAGAGGGAGGTGTTGCGTTGAGTGACCCTCACATGACACATCCTGATTTTTTCCCTACTCTTTCAGATTTTCAAGCACCAAGCATGACATACAAAACCAGAACAGAGCTCCACACATAGCCAGATCCAACCCACCTAAGCCTACAATACAGGGACTAGGATATTGAGAAAAGCAGAACATTACTAGAAGACTCTCTGACCATAAAATGGACCATAATCAGCTGTCACAAGCAGCTAGAATCTTGAATTTAAAACTAAAATGTTTATAATACCGAGTAATTAGTTATAATTAATACCTAGGGCCAAAATAATGACCTTACTTTTCAAGCAAATCTCTCATTGACATCAACAGCCAGTTGTATAGAACACTTATATGTAGTAGGTTCCTGATCCCAACACAGCTCTAGAGTTGCCCTACAGACATAGGTTATCCTTAATCGTGAACTGCAGACAAAGAATTGCTGTGGCTATAGGTTTGATAACAATATCATAACACATTCGCTCAAGTCTTGGTGGTTTTCCCAGTACTACACAGCATGGGGCAATTAGAAATGTCATGGTGACAGCAGGGATAAAATTCAGATCTTCCTGCTCCGAAGATGCTGGCCCCCTTAGTGGAGCTATGGGGAAAAAATTATGTTAGCACTCTAGGAATTGTGACATTCATTAAATAGTTCTGCCCCTCTCCACTTGCAGGTGGTGGTATGCGTATGCATCAGCCAATATAGTACAACGTACAAAATGTATGCAGCATATAATGTATGCAAAGCTCGATCAGAGTACATTCTGCAGCTGAGTGGTACCTAGAAGGACAACTGCACTACAAAACAGCCCAATGTTATACAAAAGCATTTCATGTAACAGTAGTGGCAGCTCTCCTAGATGTTTTCTAATGAGGGAAGAACATAATTTGGCGTGTGATGCTAATATGATTCAGATTTACTTTCCCTTGGCAGTAAACCAGTGCACAACACACATTGACTGTTTAGTTTAATTAAACAGCCAAGAGAGTAATATTGCATTTTATTAAGCCTCTCCTGCATTAAGATGCTAGTTAATGCAATATCAATAGGTGACTATACTACATAGGGAAAGGAATATTTGATTGTATTTGACTCTAATATAAAAGAGTAAATTGTTTGCTACTGCCAAAACATTATACTGTTCTGTAGAAGACCAGAATAACAATAAAAAGCAGACCACCAATTCACAGTTATACAAGTGAGAGGAAATATTAGCATATACCATATGAAATATCAAGCAGAATTTTCCTCTTTAGAAAAAATAGGTTTCAGGGAATAAAGAAATTAACAACAATCACTTTCCATATGATAACTTCCCCATGAGAAGAAAATCAGCATTTCATACTAAAATACTGTAGTATGTTGTAACAGTAGATTCATAATACACTGAACTGACATCTAAAAAGTATATCTAATCTAGATATCTATGGCAACTTCTATATAAGTACCAGACAAAATTAATATACATAAAAGTCCATAATCCAAATGGTGTCTGTTCCTGCCATTTTCCCACCCATGCGTGTGCATTACAGTAAGATTTAACTGCACAGGTGGTATTCTAGTGTCATTTACAAACACAGTTCTTGGAGGGAGGCCATCAATGCACCTCATGTTTGAACTTAAATTCAGTCAGCTGTGTGTTTTTCTGATAATGATCTTATCTATGAATACAGGATTCCCATCTAAATGTGTCTGAATGCTTAACGTCTGGGGAAGTTGAGGATATTTTTAGGTGGCCCCACAGGCTGTAACTAGAAGCAATATGTTGATATAAACAACATTTAGACTGACCTCCTGCATAATACAAACCACTGAATTTCACTAAATACTTCCTGCATCAAGCCTACAACTTCTGGTTGACTTAGAGCATACAGTGAGAAAAAAAGTCCAATTTTGATTGAAAAGGCCTGAAGTAAAAGGGAATCTACCATGACCTTAGGTAAAGGTATCAGTGGTTAATTACCTTCACAGTTAAAAAACTTCACCTTGTTTCCCATCTGAATGTGTCGATTGTCAGTTTCCCCTTTGCCATTGGATTTTGTTATGCCTTTGCTTACTAGTTTAAAAAATCCTTTACAACGAGGAAGGATTTCTTAGAATAGTTACTTTTTGACCATGCTTAAATCACCTCCTTAACCTTCTATCTGAGAAGCTAAATTGCTTCTGAAGTCTCATACTAAGATGTATGCCATTTAACCCTGTATGGGCAAAGAACTAGAGTACAAACTGGCAAGTGTCTTGATACATGCACTACAGCATTAGGAGGAAGAGTGCTACTATAGCATAATTTGAAAGAAAATCCAAGAAAATCACATGTAATTTGGTTGAGAAAGTTGTCCAGAAATCAGTTCTAGGATTTACCGAGAAAAGGCCCGAGTTTGATTGTGACAACAGTAAATTAATCCCTGGTGTATCGCTGAGGCAGTCGAGGGAGTTATAACAGAGATGAGTTTAGCCTCTGTCTCTGGCGGTGTGTCTAGACTACATGCCTCCGTCCACGGAGGCATGTAGATTAGACAGATCGGCAGAGGGAAATGAAGCCGCGATTAAAATAATCGCGGCTTCATTTCCCTCTGCCGATCTGTCTAATCTACATGCCTCCGTCGACGGAGGCATGTAGATTAGACAGATCGGCAGAGGGAAATGAAGCCGCGATTAAAATAATCGCGGCTTCATTTCCCTCTGCCGATCTGTCTAATCTACATGCCTCCGTCGACGGAGGCATGTAGATTAGACAGATCGGCAGAGGGAAATGAAGCCGCGATTAAAATAATCGCGGCTTCATTTCCCTCTGCCGATCTGTCTAATCTACATGCCTCCGTCGACGGAGGCATGTAGTTTAGACGTACCCTGGGTGTGGAGGAGTTGGTACTCTCAGCTCAAGGAAAGCTGAGATGAGAACAATCTGCTGCTGGCACCTTGTAACGAAATGCTGCAATTACAAAACAACTGTTTTTTAAAAGAAATCTCACCTTCCATTGCCCGTCAGTGGAAACGTCATAAACATTGCCACTTTGTTTTTCTAAAATACATATGCAGCTGTCCTTATATACTCCAAAGCTACGTCTAGACTGTGCATCGTTGCGCAATAAGATATGCAAATGAGGCACAGCGATAAATATTGACCTGCCTAATTTGCATACCTAATGAGCCGCCATTTTGCAGAAGGGGGTTTTGCACAGGAAGGAGCTGTCTACACTGCTCCTTCTTCGGCAAAACCCCCCTCTTGTGCAGGAGCCGTTCTGCTGCTAATTTTTGTTGCTCCTGGGCAAGAGGGGTTTTTTGCTCGAGAAGAAGAGGTGTAGGCAGCTCCTTCTTGCACAATACCCCCTTCTGCAAAAGTAGCGGCTCATTAGCTGCGCAAATGAGGCGCGGTGATATTTATCTCCATGCCTCATTTGGATATCTTCTGGCACAACAACGCGCAGTGTAGATGTAGCCCAAGTCATCCTGACCCGAAACACTTTTACAACGAACTAGATGGATCTTCTTTACAAGGATATATTTACAGGTTGAACCTCTCTAGTCCAGCACTATCTGGTCTGGCAACATCCATGGTCCAACATGATTTGTTAGCTGGATGTCCACTTATCATGGGTGTGGTCAGATTCCTGTGATCCCATAAAGTTTGTTTACAGCCACCAGTCCTGGCTCTTAGCATTCTGTGCTGTTATTTAGCTCTAAATTACCCCTAAATGTCTTCCACTGCTTCCTGGGCTCTTAGAAGTGTTGGTAATGCAGCTAGACAATATTGACCTACTGTGGTTTAGCAAATTCTCTGGATCAACCTGTACTAATAAAAGGTATCCATGCTGCACAGCAGGATAAGTACTCCTTGGTAGAACTGGAATAGAATCCTAGGGCTGGAAGAGACCTCAGGAGGTCATCAAGTCCAGCCCCCTGCCCAAGGCAGGACCAACCCAACTAAATCATCCAAGCCAGGGCTTTATCAAGCCGAGACTTAAAAACCTCAAGGGATGGAGCTTCCACCCCCTCCCTAGGGAACCCATGCCAGTGCTTCACCCACCCTCCTAGTGAAATAGTTTTTCCTAATA